GACGACGTCCCCGACATTCGTCGTAAACACCGGAGGCACCTGACACGTTGGCTCACGATTATAAACGACAATCACAGCAAGGGGCTGAAGAAGACCAAGTCCGCCAGAGTCAGCCCGGTGAGTCGCCGGAAGCCGAGTTTCTCTGACGGCGAGCGAGCGAACTCGTTTGTCGGGACGGAGGAGTACGTGTCCCCAGAGGTGGTGCGAGGGGAGGGTCACGAGTTCGCTGTGGACTGGTGGGCCCTCGGGATTCTCACTTACGAGGCGCTCTACGGAACGACGCCATTCAAGGCCAAGAGCCGGAAGGAGACGTTTCGAAACGTCTTGACGAAAACGCCCGAGTTTATTGGGAAACGGACGGCGCTAACGGACTTGATCGAACGGCTGTTGCACAAGGACCCCACCAAGCGGTTGGGGTACGCCAGAGGCGCGAGCGAGATCAAGGAGCACGAGTTCTTTCGCGGGGTGAGGTGGGACATACTAACGGAGGTTACACGGCCGCCGTTTATTCCGTCTCGCGAGGATGGGGACTTAACGGAGAAAGCCACGGCTGGGGGAGTAAGCGTGAGGGATTATTTTCAAAAGTTGCGGTCTCCGCCGTCGATGCCGCCGTCACCAGATTGTCAATTAACAGAGTTCTGACACACGTGTGAAAGATTACACGTGTAAGAAATTAGTTTTAAAAAATTGTGTAGCCTGTGTGTATATAGAATAACGGTAGACGGCCCGTAACTTTGAAAAGCAATAGACTATATAGTTAGCTAGGCTTGTACCATATACGGATTCAAAGGTTGTACAACTTTTTTTTTGTTACAGTGGAAGGAATCGAACTTTTGACCTAACTTAATCCCGAGTTATTCTTTCAGTTTCTTTCTTTAACTGAAGGGCACAATTAATTCAATTGTTCACGGGCAAAGTTTGTTTGAGTAGAAAGAAAGTAGTGGCGATTAGATAGGTGAAGTTCAATTGTGAGTTTGATTACAAGTAAAAAAAAAAAAAAAAAAAAAAATGGAAAGGTGAATGGTTTGAAATTAGAAAACCTTTGTGCAAGGTTCGTTTAACTTGAGCCTAATGCTTTGATTCATTACATTTACAATGGCAAAAGCAACTTTGTTGAGTGAAAGGGTTTATTGGTAGGGTCAAATGAATTGAAATCGACATCATTTTATTTACCAAAAGATAATTATAGTAACAACTGTTGTTGTTCAGCGAAGAATGAAACTACATATATTTGGATGGCCATTTCCTATTACACGTGCTCAAGTTCATTGCCTTTGATTGCTTAATTTTATTGACTTAAAATATTGTAATTTCATCGATTTAAAATATTGTAATTTCATCGATTACGAACTTGGATACAAAAAAGGTGAGAGGTTATGTTATGTTATGATTAGGGGACAAAATGTTCTTAAATTACGCAGTTTATTAGTAGATTATGGTCTTTAGTTCCAACTTTACTAAACAATTCATATGGCTTTATCTATGGCGCCTAATAGAATTGTATCTACAATGATTACAACTTTCCCACCACAAAAAAGCCATTGCAAATTTTCACCTTGAAAAAGGAAAAATTGGTAGGCCAATAAATATTTATATGTATCGCCCTAAAAGCCCTAAAACCTGCGTTTTGAGCATCATATTCAGAGCCAAGTGAGGCACAAAGCTTGATCAGCCCATGGACCAGTTGGTGGTAAAGGCCTCGTAAGAGGGTACAATTGAATAGAATTTAGGTCAATAGGGGAGAATATAGAAAATCCAAGAGCACGTGACTGATTATTTTTATTTTGAATATATTCGAGGGACCACTCGTGCGCAAAGAACAATAAAGTTTACTAGCTTTGGACACTGTATAAATCAGCTTTTACTGGCAAAGTGGATGAAGTCTTAGCTTTTAAAATGGCGGTCTGCAAATTCTCCGAGGAAAGTATGCATGTATAGTGGTAATGGTGATTGGCTTCAAGGGTTTTCCATTAATATAGTGGTAGTGGGTGAAATAATGCTTTGAAGTTTGGAACAGTCAGTTTGTCAGTGAGTTTTTTACTAAAATATCTTCATTGAGCATACCGTGGATTAGGCCAAATTGACTAAGTGACTCTGTCTCTTTGCACTCAAGTTCGAATCTCCATTCCCGTAAATCAGATTAATTTAGAGTTGCTCTATGTTTAAAGTCATATTAAAGCAAATCCATAGAAGATATCAGAGTTTATGTGACACGTTAAGCTTACGAGTGATTATGTATTTGCTTTAATTAATTAGAGGAAGTAAAAAAAAAAAGAATAATCATGTAATTATATTTCCTCTATTATATATATGAGCAGAGACACATTAGGGTTATAGGGTAGAGGAAGATCGCATCAAAGAGCAAGTTATTGAATTAGATTTCCCAAGAATACAAGACAAAGCCAGAGCAGTAGGGCAATACAAAAATGGAAATTAATACCAAAGATAACAATAGAATCGCAGTTCATGTTCTCAGCAGTAGTTGTATGTAGCATCAGGTGCTCAAACCAAACAAACCAATGCTGGAATCTGATGCCAATTAGTATGCAATAAACACGAACATATTATTCCAATTGTCGGCCAATATAATTTAGGGCTACATGTCAGTAAACTATTCTCTCCTCCTAAGTGAGTAGAGAGAGAGAGGTAGACTTTGAGGCCCCGCAGACGCTGAAAACCAAATGCAATCTTTGTCATCTACCTCTAGCTAGGGTTTAATTTGGCCTCATCTGCGTTTTATCAGGAATGGTCCTTTGCACTAGAAAACAACTTGGCCCTCCGGCTATATGCATGAATATAGGGCAAGGAGTAAGGCTTTTAGGCGGGGCCCTAGCTAGATAGGCTAAACCCTTTCAACAGAGAACAAAAAAGTACTATCAAATTCCAAATCGTTTTCATCTTTCCCATCGCAACCCCCATTTTAGAATTTTTCCAATTGAGAGTAATGGAATAGAAAAGTGACCCCATCTGGCTGGTAAACTTTTCTCATGTAAATTAATGCTTCAAGACAAGGGAGGAAATGAAGTTGGGCAGATCGATCTGTGAGCCAACTATTGTTTTATACTTGGGTTTGGTTTAGATTTTGTAGAATTTGTTTAAAAGTAAGTTTGATCATTATTGGTACCCATGCTTTTGAATTTTGAGCATCATTCAACTATTTTGTTAATTAAAAGCAACTCTAGTTCGAATCGAAGCTTAAATATTTGCCCTATCCTGGTGATCGAAATCTCAAGCAAATTAGGCACCAGAAAATTAACAAGACAAAAAGATTTGTTCAATTTTTCTGACTATGTACGGTAGGCATTGGAAACTTGTCTCAGCAATCATGTCTTGTGTTTCATTTTTTATGTTGAACATGGCATCTTTCTATGTTGTTTAGGCAGAACTTGTACTGAGAAGGAAGCTTTATAGCTTTTAGAATATATATAGTCAAAGGCGCACTTTTAAAATTTGATGGTCACCACTAATTCCCCCCCTTATATTCTTCCTTGATAATTCTGATACATATATATATATATATATATATGTTGATTTATGGCCACCAAGCACCATGATGGTTTTGAGTGAGAAAGAAAATTAGGTTTTCTTTTGATGCATGGTCGGTTGAAGTATGAAAAGGTTGAATCTATTATATAGGGTTATGAGGTCTTTAGCTTAAGTTGAATACACTTTCAACCTCTAAAGGACTCTCTTTTCAAACTCAACAAAGGCAGACAGGACCCACTTCTATGGCGTAATTTCTCCACAACTATATCAGCATATATATATATAAGCAGGATAAGAATTGCTAATAGCAGACAGCTTTCCATCCAAGAAAAGAGAAATGTAAAAAGGTTCATGGTGAATGAAATTTTTCTCATATATAATCACACTTGACAAAGGAAGCTTCCTAATTTTCTTCTGATTTTTCAGTTTTTTTTTAAATAACTAACGATGCAATATATTTATTGATCACATTGTCGGCCACATTGCTTTTAATCCGTGTATTTCAGAGTGAATAGTACTGGAGCCTGAAATAGGAGCTTTTTCCAGCTGCTATTTCTGATTGCAACGACTTCTGAAGGATTCGGGTTTTTGATAAATCTTCAAGCCACACCACAAAGCTTGGGCTTCTTCAAAGCAAGCAAAAGTTTCCTTTGGGCTTCTTCACACAGAGTTTGGGCTGCTCTAAGTTTTTACCTAGAGGGCGTGGCTCTTATTTTGATTCATATTGTTATTGCGGGTTTGTTTTGCCATAGAGCTCCTAATCTAATCTAAATTACTGCCGACTTTTGACTTGGATTAAGTATTAATCCTCTCCTAATCTATTCATATTACTCTTGTTAGTTACACATAATAACAAACAAGGAACCTGGATATGATTTATGCCATCTCTACATGCATGAGCTAACAACATTAATATATCAATTTAACACTCACTACTAGCTCTTATACTTGGCTAATAATAAGTTACATTAAAAAATTGGGATGTGAATTTCAACTAACCCAATAAAATATAAAAATCAATCTAGTCCGGGATCCCTTTCAACATTTCGGGCTCTATGAAGCATTAGTCTTATGACTTACTTCAAAGTATTATGATTTGTGTCGCATTGATTCAGAGTGCTAGGGTCAGTCACCCATGTAATTTTTTGCCATAAACGCATATAAATCCCATTATAAACCTTACATGTATCAATCAACAACTAGCAAATCAGTCATTCGCCCGCCCACATTTGACTGATCCTAGCAATTTCCTTTTAATTAAAGCATTATTAGACAAATAAATTCCTAATTTCAAGCGGACAAAAAAACAGAAGAAGCTGAAAATCCAAACTGAACTACTATTGGGCTTTGTTTGTTTGTTTTTAGTTTTGAGCTTTAAGTTAGTTCTTGCTTGCCTGGGCCCATGGGCTGATTCTTAATTGTTTTCCTTTTCCGACCTGGGCTTTCTGGTAATAATTATTTATTTATTTATTTACCCGAAAGGAGAAACTAACAAAACCAACAGATCCAAAATACCTCATTCAAACGTTTAGAAAAAATAAAAATAATAAATATCACGTTCTCTGCTGCTCGCGAGTTGCGAGCCAGGGGCAAAACTGCAACGCCTCCATTGTTGTTCGTTCGTACAACTTCCAGTAGTTAGCAGAACCACTCTACCGGGCACCAGGTACTCTTTTCCTCTTGGGCTTCTTACTTATTAATCTTTTATTTAACTAAATAAGGGTGGCTGTGATGAAACTAGGGCTGTTATTTTGGGGGTTTAGGGGTTGTCATGGTTTGGGATTCGTTGAAATTGGGTGTGGGTTGTTGTTGTTGTGATTATGTAAGTGCTAATTTGTTTACATTAATGCCTTTTGTTTTTATTTTCGATGGGCTGCTGAAAAAATTTCAAATTTCAAATTTCGTCTTTATTTGGTGCCCAATGTATCTGTGCGCTGTGGACGTGGTGAAAGCTTCTCTTCTTTTTTTTTTCTTTTTGTAATTGATTGATGGAAATTTTAAGTGTGGAGCTTTGTTTTGCTGACAATTACTCTTTTTGATAGAGTTAATAATACTAAATTTGAATGTGATGATTCTAATAAACTGGGTTTATGTTTTTATGGGGTTATTTATGTTTTGTATGCAAGTGACTATGTCCCCCTGAGTGGGTGTATTTTTATGTGTTTATTAATGAAAACTCAGTCGTGCTGTGGAGTTTTTTTATTTTTAGAATCATGTTAGTTAGTTAATTTGTATCTTTTTCACAGGTATTGTAAATTTGGGAAGCTCTAAAGAAAAGAACAAGACAGTGATGGCTAGAAAGTACAGTAGTGAATCTAGTGAAGATGATGTGAGGGGTGAGAGAGATAAATATAGAAGTAGAATCGGTTCTAGGTCAAACAATCTTCATGAAACTGGTGATGAAATTGATTCATCAGATTCTGATGGAGGAAACAGAACAAAACGACAGGAGAGACGGGATGGACATCGTAGTGATGATATGGACAAGGAAAGGTCCAGCAACGACAAAGATGGAAGGTGGCTGGATGATCATCGAGATAGGAAGGGATCTGGAGAAAGTTCTGATGAAGATGGAGAGCTGAAAGAGAAAGACCGGGATACTCAACTGAAGGAAAGAAAGCATGAGAATGGCCATAGAAGACGTGAAAATGGGAAGGGTGATAGAGTGACAGAATCTTATAGAAGTTCTGAAGAAGATGGCGAGCAAGTGAGGAGGCACCGACATGAAAGGGAAAGGGAGAAACCTCGCCAGCATGAGAGTGGGCATAGAAGGCCGGAGACCGAGGATAGTCATAGATATAGGGGCCGACATTCACGTCACTATTCAGACCACAAGGATGAAAGGGAAGAGCACAGAACATTAGAACAGAAAAAGGATAAAAGAGATGATGATAAGAGAAGGAGGTATAGAAACCAGGATGATGATGGAGATCTAAAGTATCGTAGAAATAACGAGGTAAAAGAAAGACGAGAAGAGAGTCGAAGTCTGAGGCAAAATGATGAGCGAGATAGCAGGATGCTTGAAAATTCAAAACCTCAAGGACAGTCAAAGTTACAAGAAGGCAACATGAGTACTGATGTGTCAAATTTAGGAAAAAGTGGTGGAGTTTACATCCCCCCATTTAAGTTGGCCCGGATGATGAAAGACGTTGATGATAAAAGTAGTGTTCAGTATCAGAGATTGACATGGGATGCCCTCCGAAAGAGTATCAATGGCCTTGTGAACAAAGTCAACGCTGCAAATATAAAAAATATAATTCCTGAAATTTTTGCCGAGAATCTGATTCGTGGAAGGGGTCTCTTTTGCCGTTCATGCATGAAATCGCAGATGGCATCTCCAGGTTTCACTGATGTGTTTGCAGCATTGGTTGCTGTTGTCAACACAAAGTTTCCTGAGGTTGGTGAACTTCTGTTGAGAAGAATTGTGTTACAGCTTAAGAGGGCATTTAAGCGGAATGACAAGGTGAGTTTTTGCCCATGCTTTGTTATTTTACTTTACCACTTTAGTGTTTGCTGACAGAATATGTCTTTTATTTAGATTGATTCTATTTCTCTTCTTTAACTGGCTTTACTTTTGAACAGCCACAACTACTAGCTGCCGTTAAATTTATAGCACATCTGGTCAACCAGCAAGTGGCTCATGAGATTATTGCCTTAGAATTGCTGACCGTTCTGCTGGAGAACCCTACCGATGACAGTGTTGAAGTCGCTGTTGGCTTTGTCACCGAGTGTGGATCAATACTGCAGGACCTTTCACCTAAAGGGCTTCATGGTGGGTTTGCTGTTTGATTTGTTAGCATTTATGCGCTTTTGGGTTTTATTCATTAATGAGATTTATGTGTTTATGAACAATATATTCTTTCTCTCTGCTTATTATGCATTGTATCTTCCTAATATTATATTTAGGACTTACACACTGCTACATTATACCATTTTCCCTTTTCAGTTTTTTTGTTTAGTTTATTTTTCAACTTATCAGTAGACAAATTAAATCAATGTGAATTTGGACCAGTTAAAGGTTAGAACATTCTTTTTTATGATATGCAAGACAGATGTGCACCCATTTTAAATTGACTGCATTAGATGCTATTTTAAGTGGATCTTCGTTCTGGTCATCTGGGTTCTTCTGTTGGTTACTGTACTGTCCCCTTTATCTTGAACGTTATATTTTATTGGGTTCATAGTACATTTTCCTTTTCAGGGAGTTGTTTGACATTGCTCTTATTGTTTGTAATTTTTTGCAGGCATCTTTGAGCGCTTTCGTGGAATTCTTCATGAGGGAGAAATAGACAAAAGAGTGCAATATTTGATTGAAAACTTGTTTGCAACACGAAAAGCAAAGTTTCAGGTTGAGTGACTTGAGTCTATTTGTCTTTGTGATGGTAAATTATATAGAAACAAAACACTGAGAGCTTACAATTTGTTGTTCTCATGTCCATTTGCAGGGGCACCCAGCTGTTCGTCCAGAACTGGACCTTGTAGAGCAGGAAGACCAGTTGACGCATGAACTTTCTCTTGAAGAGGAGATAGATCCAGAAATTACCCTTGGTATGTCTTATCTTATGACGTAAATTTATTTTTTAGCTTTTTTTTTACCTACCAGGGCTCTATTCATTGTGGATGTGAATGTTTTGATTTGTGCTCATTTAGATATTTTCAAGCCCGATCCTGATTTCCTTGAGAATGAGAAGCGCTATGAAGAATTGAAGAAAACCATACTTGGTGAGGAGTCTGAAGATGAAGAAGGTTCTGATGCAGTTTCAGATGGTGAGGATGACGACGAGGACGATGATGATGAAGAATCTGAGGAAGAGGATGAGCAGCAGATGCAAATAAGAGATGAGACAGAGACAAATCTTGTAAATCTTCGAAGAACGATCTATCTTACAATCATGTCCAGTGTAGATTTTGAGGAGGCGGGACATAAGCTCCTGAAGATTAAACTTGAGCCTGGTCAAGAGGTGAGTGTTACAAGTCATGCATGGTGTTGCTATCTTGTTATACATGATAAGTAGTAAACTGGATGTGTCTATGTGCCATCTTAGAATGAACTAGAAATAGTATCAATGTAGAACTGCTTGTTCTTGGTTAATAATCAGTTAACCACAATCCTAATGATTTGAGTTTACGTTATCCTAATATGAAGATTAAATATTAATATGAACCGAATTAAATTGCAAGTATATGAATCATGTGTAGACTGAAGAGTGTATTACAGGATTATTCTTAGGAGGATTGACTTGGGACAACCTATTTGTATTATTAGTTAGTTAGCCAATTTAACATAAATTTTGACTAATCTAAGACGAATATCAAAGAGCGAAAGAAAGAATTTTACATGAATCCAAAGGGAAAGTGGTCGACCACACTCTGGTTTACAAGAGGCCAACCACTTTTACCAGTGGCATTCTCTATCTTGTTTGTCAGGTTGAGAACCCTAAGTTTTAAATTTCACAGTAAAATTTTTGAAACTCTATGAGTGCACAGTGTTTGTTATCTTGACTTTCACAGTAGTTGACGAATGATAATTGTGTTGATTTGACCTTACAGATGGAACTATGCGTCATGCTTTTGGAATGTTGCAGTCAGGAGAGAACCTACCTCCGTTATTATGGTCTGTTGGGGCAGAGGTTCTGTATGATCAATAAAGTCCACCAGGAAAATTTTGAGAAATGCTTTGTCCAGCAGTATTCCATGATCCACCGGCTTGAAACAAATAAGCTACGTAATGTTGCGAAGTTTTTCGCCCATTTACTTGGCACAGATGCCCTTCCCTGGCATGTGTTAGCCTATATACGATTGACGGAAGAAGACACTACTTCATCTTCTCGTATTTTTATCAAGATCCTTTTCCAGGTAACAAAAGGGAAATTTTGTTTTTCTACAATTTCTGTTTGGCTTTTTAGGACTTCCATTACTTGTTACAATGTTGGCAGCTCTGTATCCTCTTATGAGATGGTTCAACTTAAATTTGATCATAAAGTTTAACCTAAGATGTGATATGTTGGGGGTATGCTGACAATTTTTAGTTACTGCTGCCTTTGAATAAATCCTTCACTTTAAAACATTTTGTAACTCATTGGGAGCATTGATAGATCTGATTGGGAAGAAGAAGAGTAAAAGATTAGCAGATAAATGTGGGTTAGTTGAGAATAGTTCTGGATCACAATTACATCTGATAGGTTGGGGTGGGTGGGGGTGTATACCTGGCAATCATTAGTGACCTCTGCCTCTGAATAAATGCTTGTCCATGTAACGGCCTTTTGTTTTTTGTATACCATGAGAGGTGGGACGTAGGCTCATGTTTTTGCTTTTAATATCTCGAAACTCAATGCATTAAAATATCATTACCTACCAAATTTAAGCCTTTTTTCTTTGGCTAATTTCTGGTGTTAAGATTTACTTCACAGGTCTGAAGATGATTTCTTAGAGAATGTTGATGTACAGTTTGTACAAAATTGTAATTTGTTATTGTTTCTGGTGTGCAGGAATTGTCAGAACATCTTGGCATCCGTTTGTTAAATGAGCGGCTCACAGATCCTTCAATGCAGGACTCTTATGATTCTATTTTCCCAAAGGATAATCCCAAGAACACTCGTTTTGCCATTAATTTTTTCACATCCATTGGGCTTGGTGGCATCACTGAGAACCTGCGTGAGTACTTGAAGCATATGCCACGACTCATTATGCAACAACAAAAAGCAGTGTCAGACTCAGAATCTGAGAGTTCGGGTTCATCCGATTCGGACTCTGAGTCTGAATCAGAACCATCAAGTTCTGATGAAAGTGACAGTGATAGTGACGGACGGCACAAGAAGCGTAGGAGTGAAAGTGATAGGAAGGAAAGACACAAGAAGCGTAGGAGAGATTAAGTTCTTTTACTGCCTTGGAAATACATATCATGATGTTCTCAATGAAACACAAGAATTTTTCGTTGATTTTCCAAGTTATGGGAGAAAATGAGTGGGACAAATATGTTGTAACTCTACGAGTCTGTTCACTGTATAACACCAGTTGAAATTTTTGCAGTTCTATGTTATTGTAGTCATTAAGCATGTTCACAATATTTAGGTTTCTGCTAGAGTACATTGTTTGAGCAGTGGTTTCCAATTTTGGTATTCTTTGAGGAATGCTTTTAGGTTCTGTTATGTTCAACTTGCTGCTTCTTCTTCCGCTTCTTCTTCCTTATTTGTATCAAGAAGTCCGTTTGGATTTTGGGCCTTTGCCCGTTGTGTATTATAACTTTGAATCTTGGAGATGCAGTAAAGAAGGATGGATCTTCACTTTATTATTAAAGTATTAAGTTTGAGTAACAAAATAGTATTATGAAGCATGCCGTAGGTTAGAAGAATGTTAAATTAACTCAAAAAATTTAACACAAAAACAAATTAACACATGAAAATTTGAATTTACATTGCACCATTGGAGGAAAAACTGCATTTACATTTACCGGAGATGTAAATGAGACCTCTCTCTCCTGGATATGCTCTTACTGTCTATTCTTTTCACCACACAGGCGAAGTTTGCATCTTGATATCCCTGTGGAAACAGCCTTGTTGGTCAAGTCCTTAATGAACCTGCGTGACTTGAAAGTGAGCACACTATCATCACAATGTGCTGCTGCCTGCCTTTCAAGTTACTTCACAGTTTCAGATTTGGCTCAAAATTGACCACAGCTTTAGACTTCTCTGCACTTCTGCGTCACTTCATATTGATGGAATTACGAAGAAGCTCACTTCTGCAATAATATCTTCTTGAATCTTTATGTCGTGCATAAGTTTAAGCCTTGTATTGTGTATCCAATTTCTAATAATTGGTCCTCTATTGTCGATTGTGGCTAGTTCCATCTAATCACAAAATGACCAAGTTCTAGAGGTCCTTGTGTTTATTAGTGAAAGCTACCGGATGTAGAAAATTTGAGAGAGACCTGTGAGAGCTACAGCTACTGCCCTCTACATTCTAATAATCTTTATCTTCAATATTCTTTAACTTTGTCTTAAAAAGCATAGATTTTTGCTCATAACCCATCTTGCCCTTTGAGTATTGAATGATCCCAACTTGCCTATTTGTCAGCAATTTAAATTTATTTGTATGAAAACAATGGGAACCAACCACTTATCCATTTTTAAAGTTATTTTTTCATGACCCACACAGCCTTGCAAGCAATGTCAAAGCCAAAATGAAAGCAACAATATATCTACTGCAGCTAATTATAAGCAAAATTAGTGAATGTGACTATAACCTGCATGATGAACTGTCACACCTGACAGACAGGCTTTGCCTTGTGCTGTGCCTCATGATCTCTTGATTTTTTGGGTTTTCTGTATTTGTGGCTCTTCTTTTCACTTATAACTAGACATCACTTGTGACCCCAAGAATCTAAAATCAAGAAAGTCTGCAGCATTGGCAACAAACAACCAATAAGAACCAATAAGAACCAATAAGAACCAATAAGACCCCTTGCTCCAATTGGAAAGCCAATATTATTTTAGTACTAAACTTCACTTATTTTCACCCAAACCAAAACAGAAGGACTTTTTTTCTGTTGCCTTTTTATTTGAAGGAGCCATATTGTCTTGCAAATTGTTAGCAGATGAAGGGGAATCATTGTGCAACTTGTGCCATTCCTTTTAGATGGAAAAGGTCAAAAGACATGTATAGTTTGGCAGTGCATGCTGCATATATGCGAACACAACAAAATTTGGTGAGCACAAGTGTCCCTACCACATGCAATAAGAGCCAGTCGAAATGAATTTGGTATGACTTTGAGCTCATTGCGATTCTTTCTACGCAATCACAGATCAATAAAAACCAGATAAAAATTTCATAAATGGCTGTGATGACACCTCAATTTGTCTTGCTTTGCCCTTTTGGGAAGACAGTCAAATATTTGTTTTATTGTTCAGAAGATTGCATTCATCCATTTAACTCATCCCAAAAACAAAAGCCAAAAAGGTCACGTGATGCTCTCACGGTTGGGGTTGTTCCAGTGGGCAAACCCAGTACATAGTTTTTTCCAAGAATCAAATTGTTTGTAGCCTGTTTCTTCAACTAGAGGACAAATACAAAAAATGGAAAGCAAACTTGTATCACAGGTTCACAATGCTTTGCACTGAAATGAATGATTGAAGATGAATCCCTGTCAACGTGACTCACCAGATATTCATGTAACTTCCACGCTTTGCTTTCGGATTAGGGTAAGGGCAGAATCAGGAATTTTTCAATGGGTGGGCTAGCTAAAGTTATTAGCTTAAAATCTAATGATAATTTTTTTTTTTTGTACTTACATTTTCTATAGTTTTTTTAGATAAAAAAAAGTATACATTAAATCATATAAATCATGCTAATTGTAAACACAAGAAAAAAAATTTGAAATTAGAGCCATATTATTCACGAAAGGGTGAATTTCATTTATAAAAATGCTTCTCTTTTGGAGACAAATTAATAGAAAATTTTTAAAATTGATGTTGGGACAAACTTTGACATCAAATACAAATGTGGAAGACCTTAGACTATTGGTGTTGAAATGGTATATATTATAGTTAAAATATTAGGCTATATGTATATCTAATTTGTTTTTTTCCCAAATCTTCACTGGGCTACAGCCAAGGACAGTTCTTGCCTTCGTTCTCTCTTGAACTAGGGATGCTTAAACAAAAGTAACTATAACACCGTCCCGTGATGTTATTAATTCAAAAAGAAAGAAAAAAAGTGTCCAGCCAAGTTTGGTAAAAGTGTAGTAGGCTCTTTCTCTTGATTGTGTGATGTGATGTAATAGTGGAAGCAAAATTCTTTGGAAGTAGTCATAAATTCTTGGAGGTTGTTAATACAGCTGTAAAGATGAAAGAGAATGGCAATACGACTTGTGCAAACATAGATACAAATTTGAAATGATCTTAATCGACATGGAGACATGTGATATGTGGGTCGATGTTTTTATATCACTTAGTTTGGAACTATATGCAGGATTAATAATTATAAAAAAGACAATGTTGCTTTACCCGAAAGATGATAAAAAATTTGGAATTCAAAAAGAATTTGAGTTTTGCTTTTCCATCCAAAACAATCAAAACTTTTGGTATATTCTCTGAATAACAATCGCTGGACTAACCATCAATTACAATTACAATTAAATTTCAGTTAAAATGGAGCGAAAAGAAGGCCATTTGTTGGGGGATATAATCAAACACAAATAATGGCATCGGGGTCGTCTTGGTTTGGTGCTGTGCTGTGTGCCTTTCTTCTTGGATTCAGATGGCCTCAACCTCAACCCCCAAACCTCCTTGGTCAAACCCCTCCTCAAAACACGACACCACATCCGTGATCCTCACCTCTCTCTCTCTATCTCTCTCATTACAGTCATAGCTTGTAGATAGATATGGTAAATCAGACTTCTGTGGAATTATTGCTCTGTAGATATTATAAATAAACTTTACGCAAAAACCATTATTTGCTTCCAAGAGATGGTTTTGGATATCCCTTGCTATCTTGGACTCTAGCTTCTCTGCGCGTGTGTATAAATATAGCCCCACACTCTCAGTCTCAGTCTCTCACTCCCACATGTGCTCCTGCCTTTAACTTTTTCTTGGTCTCTCTTTCTTTATACACTTTTTAATTCAATTTATACTCAGAATATGTGTTTTTGATCACGTTCCTCCCGAGGTCACTGAATTTCGAATTCCCTGTCTTCAGGGTTTTGCCAAAAATAGATGCTTTGATTTTCTTTACTTGAATTTTGAGGTCAAACTGATTGTTTTCTGTGCTCTGTTCTCTGTTCTTATGGAGCTTTGTCACTTAGATGAGATTTTCTTTGTTGGGTTTTGTTAAAAATTGAACCGTTTGATTATTGGCAGTTGAATGTGAAGTTGTGAACTCCATTTGACTGCTTAGTGGTTTGTTGGTATTTACTTACTTGCTTTCATTCACATTTGGGTAACTTTTAATCTGGTTTTTTTTTTTTCATAATGAAAATGAAGGTCTTTCTGTGTATTGATTTGTTAGCGGTGTTTATAATCATTTTTCTATGTGGTTTTTCTCTGGGTAAGGAGTGTACCAATATTCCTACTCAGCTCTCATCACATAGTTTTCGATATGAGCTTTTATCTTCCCACAATGAAACACGGAAGGAAGAGATGTTCTCATACTACCACTTGATACCAACCGATGATTCTGCGTGGATGAATTTGCTTCCAAGAAAGATACTGAGGGAAGAAGATGAAAATGAATGGGCAATGATGTACAGGAAAATGAAAAATCCAAATGGTTTTGAGGCCTCTGGAGGCTTTCTTAAGGAAGTGTCATTGCATGATGTGAGGTTGGATCCAACTTCACAACATGGACGGGCACAGCAAACAAATTTGGAGTACCTATTGATGTTAGACTCAGATAGTTTACTTTGGAGCTTTCGGAAGACAGCAGGTTTACCAACAATTGGGACACCATATAAGGGGTGGGAGGAGCCGACTGGTGAACTTCGAGGTCATTTTGTAGGTCAGTGTTATTTATTAACTCGTTATTTTTGTTTTCTTTATTGAAATTGTTAATCTTGATGATCACAGTGTTTGTGTAATTTCTCTGTTGTCGCATATTACTACATTTCTACGTTCATATTGTCTTCTCGTGCTTTATAAAATGGGATTACGATTTTATTAAAGCTAATTTCATTTCTGTTAATCTTCGTGAGACTGCCATAAATGGAAGGCACTTATGGAAGTGCCCCTTCCATCTTAGTTTGGAGAACACTTGCACATTGTTCGGATTATTGTGGAGAATGAATAATATGATACAAATGCATTCATTTCCTCCGCATTCTCCTCTCTTTCCAGACAATAGGTCTAGTATCTATCTGTCACTAGTTCTCAAATTTCATGGCGCCATGGTACTCCCCTTTACAGCAAAGGGGTTACCTTCAATTGCAATTTTAATTTATAATATTCAGCTTGTACTTGTATGGTGATGTATAACGAACAGCTTGCTTTTGTATTTTGAAGGGCATTACTTGAGTGCATCAGCACTAATGTGGGCTAGCACTCACAACAATACCCTCAGAGATAAAATGTCTGCAATAGTGGACAATCTATATCTTTGTCAGAAGAAAATTGGCAGTGGATATCTTTCTGCTTTTCCATCTGAGCAATTTGATCGATTTGAAGCTATTAAGCCTGTCTGGGCTCCTTATTACACCATTCACAAGGTAGAATATTCTTAATTTGTTTCACTAGAGCAATTACTTCATTTTGACTCAAAGGGTCATGATTAGCTTTTCCACTTTTCTACTTTGACAGATCTTGGCAGGCCTATTGGATCAATATACATTGGGTGAAAATACTCAAGCTTTAAAAATGGTGACATGGATGGTCGATTACTTTTACAACCGTGTTCAGAATGTAATATCAAAGTACAGCGTAGAAAGACATTATCTGTCACTTAATGAAGAAACCGGTGGCATGAATGATGTTCTTTATAAGTTATATGTTATCACAGTAAGTAAGATTACCTACAAAGTACCTTTTGCTCTTCCTCCAGATCATTCATGTTTGCCTGTTCAGCATTAGTATGAAGTACCATTCATAGTTGTCATGATCTTTCTTTAAAAGTATGCAATTGGGGAAATGGAACCACCCATGTGTGTCATATGGCTCATTTAAAAAGTATTAAAATGAGGACATGAGAAGTTCACCTTGTATGGTGTAAATGGCCGTAACCTAATCATTATAGGTTTTAATTGATTTTTCTATTTTTCTCTGTGGTTCAGTAAGTCCCTGGCACCATCTTAGGACTCTAGTTTCCATATATATGTGTGTGTGTGTGTGTGAAGTACTTACAATATTGTGGACATCGGGGTTGTGGTATTAACAATTCTTTTTTACTATGCTCAGAATGATACGAAGCATTTATTGTTGGCTCATCTTTTTGACAAACCATGCTTTTTAGGATTGCTGGCAGTGCAGGTAACCATCATTTTCTGTTCAATACCTATAGTTAGGTTTCTTACAAATTTTTTCTTCCTTTCTTTTCCGTGAGTAGACATATAACAAACACCAATTGGAAATCAGTATACTCTTTGCGAACATATATTGCTCCAAACATCGTTGCTTGTATGCTAGACGAAATCAAACGAGTCTCCAGTCCTGAAATTTGGACTCTTTTGCTTTAGATAATGTCATATGCTATAAGTCAAGACAATTCCATGTTTGTTAAAACCTAGTTCAAACTACCTCATGGTCTAATGGTATTCCAGTGCACCAACTGTCTGAGGTTGCAGGAATAAGCCCTGCATTGGTCCTTTGTATTAGATGATGAGTATAAATGTAATCACCCAGATAGCACAGTTATATACTTCTGATTAGCTAACAAATGGGGCAGTAACTTTGAGAAGTGAACAGAAAGAAAGCTAAAGTCGTTGACACATTTGTTTTGAGGTCAAAGTTTAATGTTTCATGTGTTGTCCTTATACATAGATGTAAGTTTTTGTCTAAGAGATGAATGTTGTAGTATGCGGGGTACTGAAAATGGGTAGACATAATATGGAATATCCAAAAAGTACTTAATAGATATATAAAGACAGAAAGTAAAATTTGTACTTCTAACTTAACAAAGACAAGCTCCAAATTTGGTAAGATGTTTTATACTTCCTAGGCAATGTACATTTGGGACTTCAGCATACGAACATAATCTAAATAGTAGGGAACTGATTCACTGGTTCTGGCTTTTTCTGTCTCTTTCTATAGTTAGGACAGTTCAATTTCTAGCTTCTGTGAACCTTATCTCTTGGAACCCCTCTCATCAAGTAGTTTTTTTTTTTGGTAGGCTGACGACATATCTGGTTTTCACGCCAACACGCATATCCCAATTGTTATTGGTTCTCAAATGCGATATGAAGTCACTGGTGATCCACTTTATAAGGTAAATGATTTGTTTATATTATATAGCATCTGAACTACAATTCTCAACAAAGCCTGATATCCTTTCTACTGTTTATGTATGAGCTTAACAAATAGGCTTTTTCCCCTTGCACTCCATGTGTGCTTGTAAGGATGTTACTTCTCTTTTTAAAATGGTATTGCACTTGCGTTTTTAATTCCTATTTTTAATCTTTAGATTACCATCTTGTCTATTTCCTTATTCAGTAACTACATCACTAGTACTTTTTAATTTCACTGAAGGCTTATGCTATTAGAGAAGCCTTTTTTATTCTAACATTTTTAACAAATCTGGAATTGTCAGGAAATGGGGATTTTCTTTATGAACATTGTTAACTCTTCCCACAGCTATGCAACAGGAGGGACATCAGTCAGTGAGTTCTGGTACTAAAATTAAGCTTACTAAAGTTTCGGTTTCAGTTCATTCGTAATAAGCTCTTCTTTTTGCTTGAAAAGTCTAGATGCATCCCTTTATCTGGTTATGGCTAGTTTCTTTTGGACTTGTTTCTTAACCAGAAGTGTTATGATCTGCTTTCCTCAACTTGTGAGCAGGTCAGACCCTAAAAGATTGGCAGGCACTCTACAAACAGAGAATGAGGAGTCGTGCACAACTTATAACATGTTGAAGGTATGCCTGTCGTTATTGTTCTCAAGGCTTCTTTTGGATTTTTTCAAAGTTGTGTAGGAAGTTGATTGATTGCTTTTTAATATCTATTAATTTCATAAAGCAAGACCCAGATGTCACCCTTCCTCCTACTGAGGCTTATCTTATATAATACATGATATCTGTTGGATTTTAGTTTACTGTTGAAAGAGGTACATCTATGGGAAGTCTACACACACCAAAAAAAAAAAAGCAGTGCAAAACTTCATCATTCACTTTATAGTTTTCATGTTATTTACCATAAAGGCCCAGGTGATTCGGCAACTTTAGCATATCTCAATCATCTTGTAGGTCTCTCGCCACCTGTTTAAATGGACCAAAGAAACAGCATATGCGGATTATTATGAACGAGCTCTGACAAATGGTGTGCTAGGCATCCAAAGAGGGACACAGCCTGGAGTCATGATTTACATGCTCCCACTAGGTCGTGGAAATTCCAAGGCCAGAAGCTACCATGGTTGGGGAAAACCATTTGAGTCGTTCTGGTGCTGCTATGGCACTGGTACGAGATTGCTTGGGACTGCTTGTCCTTTTTATTTTTTTTTTCAGGGAATTTCAGCATTTTTTTTTAAACTTTCATGATCTGTATATTGTAATGATGTGCTTTCTCACTTTCAATTTGATATGATTCAAGCAAAATCATTTAGACTGTGATTCCTCTTGTTTTCTGTTATAGGTGCTGCGTAATAACCATCAGTTATGTGTCTCTTCTTAATGCTTTTGTAGGAATTGAATCATTCTCAAAGTTAGCAGATTCCATATATTTTGAAGAGGGAGGAGAAGTTCCTGGTCTTTACATTATCCAGTATATATCAAGCTTGCTTGATTGGAAATCTGGACAAATTGTGCTTAATCAGACAGTTGATCAAGTCAATTCATGGGATCCTTACCTTAGAGTCACATTGACATTTTCTTCAAAGGAGGTATACATACATTGACATTGGCATTAACATTATCATATGATTCACTCATTTCAGTGTTGACAATTCATCTTTTCTGCATCTGCTTCCTTAGTCTTTCAGTTTCAACTTTGTTTCTACTTTGTTTTCTGTAATATGTAGGACACTTCTCTTCTTATAATAATGTTGTGTGAAACACTTGCAAGGACGCCACCGTACACACATCCTCTTTTGTTTGACACTCATTTAGAAACCTGTAAAAGAGTTCACCCTTGTCTACTTACTTATTAGTTGTGTATTATTTTTGGCCTGCATGTGACCTGCACATTTTGGTATAGACATACACGTGCATGTTTTCAGTTTATAGATTCACTAAAACAAACGCGTATAGTGTCTTTTGTCTCTAGACATGAGAGTTGTCTCGTGTCCTTTCTGTGCCTGACATAGAACTTTATATTGGATTTAAATGATGCAGGGGACAGGCAAATCATCTACCTTGAACTTGCGAATGCCTATTTGGACTGCTTCAAATGGTGCAAAGGCAGCATTGAATGGTCAAAGTCTGAGTGTACCAGCTCCAGGTGTGAGATAACTCGCAGTTTCCTCTCTATTTCTGCAGTTGCATTTCTGATCCTCTTTGCCGTGTTTTTTAGGCGCAAACTATAGGCTTAACTGATATTATTTTCCTATTTCTGATGCAGGTAGTTTCCTATCTGTCACAAGCAAATGGAGTTCTGGTGACACTTTGACCCTTCAGCTACCCATTAGTCTAAGAACAGAGGCTATTCAAGGTACTTTTGTTAAAAATCCATTTCAACAAGTATATACATCTGCCACTCCCTAGGATACATGGCTTTACCAATAAGCAAAAGATTTGTTTTGTGAATGATATATAACTGACAAAGTCCTTTGAACAAAATTCAGATGATCGGCCTGAGTATGCTTCAATTCAAGCAATTCTTTATGGTCCATATCTGCTTGCGGCTCATACCAGCGGTAACTGGGACATTAAAACTGGCTCAGCTAAAACCATTGCCGACTGGATAACTCCAATCCCTTCTTCATACAATAATTTTTTGGTTTCCTTCTCCCAAGAATATGGAAACTCAAAATTTGTAATAGCTGTCACAAACCAATCAATTGCATTGGACGTCTTTCCTGAAACTGGCACTGACACTTCTGCTCATGCCACTTTCAGACTCATTTCAAATGACTTGTCCACAAAGCTCTCTACGGTGAATGATGCTATTGGCAAATCAGTCATTCTAGAACTGTTTAATCTTCCAGGAAAGGTTTTAGTGCAGCAAGGGAAAGACAATAATCTTGGGATAGCAGATATGTCCAGTAGTAAGGACTCTTCAGTTTTCCATTTGGTTCCAGGTTTGGATGGAAAGAACACAGTATCCTTAGAGTCAGAAAGCTTCAAAGGTTGCTTTGTGTACAGTGAAAAAATTGAGGCACTGGCAGGCTTGAAGCTCGTCTGCAGTCCAGAGTCATCGGATGCTGGATTCAACCAGGCAGCCAGCTTTGTAAAGAGTAATGGAATAAGCCAGCATCATCCTATCAGCTTTGAGGCTAAAGGAGCAACAAGGAGCTTTCTTCTAGCACCATTGTCAAGCTTCCATGATGAATCTTACACTGCTTATCTCAACATTACAGCCTGATAAGTAGGGACAGGATTGTGGAAACCGGAATGAATCTATTCGATATCAAACTATTTATGATAGTTTTTATTTTTCTCACAGTGGCAGCCGTTACTTCAAATCCCTTAATTGCTTTTGCAGATAGGGATCTTATTTAGAAATCCCAGAGTAGTGTTCATCTTGTATATTCATCTTCTACGTGATTTCTGAGGTTCCTGTTATTAGTATCCATGCTAATATGCTACAAAGAAAGAATTGCTGTAGCTACATCGAAGATGATTTAACAGCAGTTTGCTTCTGCATGAGGATATTCAGAATTTGAAATATGAAAAGATTATAGCATTGCTGGGAAGTTTCTAGTGCCTTTTGGGTTTATGGTATACATATAGACTTGTTCAATGTCTTCAACCATGGGGATTATAGTTTGGTTGTGCAATTTGCTTCAAGCTCTAGTCGCTCATAAACTCTTGGCATTTAAGTTGCTTGTACAACACAACTCTACCAAAAGTATTTGGTAGCTGAAATTGGCTGTGGTTTAGAAGAGCGGGACCTAGCTAACAAATATTAATATTATTGAGGATTATATAAATAAACATTGAAAATGGTCTTGAGTTGCACAGTGGTTCGAAACCCCCTCCTTCTTATAATTTAGATTATCGCTTGTATTCAAAAGTGAAAAAGAAAACATTGCCAAATAATTCACAAATGTTGACTCTAACATTCAGGAACGGATCTAAAATTTATAATTGGGGGGTTGAACTTCATGCTCTAATGGATCAAATCCCTTAATTGCTTTTGCAGATAGGGATCTTATTTAGAAATCCCAGAGTAGTGTTCATCTTGTATATTCATCTTCTACGTGATTTCTGAGGTTCCTGTTATTAGTATCCATGCTAATATGCTACAAAGAAAGAATTGCTGTAGCTACATCGAAGATGATTTAACAGCAGTTTGCTTCTGCATGAGGATATTCAGAATTTGAAATATGAAAAGATTATAGCATTGCTGGGAAGTTTCTAGTGCCTTTTGGGTTTATGGTATACATATAGACTTGTTCAATGTCTTCAACCATGGGGATTATAGTTTGGTTGTGCAATTTGCTTCAAGCTCTAGTCGCTCATAAACTCTTGGCATTTAAGTTGCTTGTACAACACAACTCTACCAAAAGTATTTGGTAGCTGAAATTGGCTGTGGTTTAGAAGAGCGGGACCTAGCTAACAAATATTAATATTATTGAGGATTATATAAATAAACATTGAAAATGGTCTTGAGTTGCACATCAGTGGTTCGAAACCCCTTCTCCTTATAATTTAGATTATCGCTTGTATTCAAAAGTGAAAAAGAAAACATTGCCAAATAATTCCCAAATGTTGACTCTAATATTCAGGAACGGATCTAAAATTTATAATTGGGGGGTTGAACTTCATGCTCTAATGGGAAAAATATATTTTAATGTTCAAGGCACATAACAAGTCATAGATTTTAAAACACCAAGAATTGTAAACGGAACAAAAGATAGTTTAATAACCACAAAAAACAAGAAAAGAGAACCAAATTCAAGAGTTGCATGCATATATTGGAGGGGACATAAGAGTAAAACAACATTTTCTCTAATATACATATGGGAAAATTTTAGGGGGCCAGGGCCATGTCAGGCCCAGACGCGCGGCTCCATCCCTGCTAATATATAGTTTTCACTTTATTAAAGGAAGCTTGAGTTCAAATCTCATGAAAAAGAGTTAGTTGTGTTGGATTAAAACAAAAATTTACTCTAATAATCTAAATTATGTAGCAAAACATATTTATCATGCTCATTTTATAAAACGTAAATTAGTAACACCAACCGGATTTGAGTACTTAATGATGATTGACGCATAAATAATAATAAAAAATAAAAAAGAGTAGCTAGGGATGTGGCCCAATACAGTAAACAGAACAAAAGGCCCAACTGACACCTATAGCTATAGAGAGTCCAATAAGCTTGGTGCCTTTTTCTTTTAAACCGCGACCCAACTAGTATATATGGTGTTTCACCTAGGGTTTCAAATTTTTCGTCATCATTTAGGGTTTTAGGGTTCCGTATATCGGCGCAGAGCTTCAGAGCCATCAGCAATGGCGGACAAGTCGGGCCGAGGTAGAAAAGAAGAGGTCGTAACCAGAGAGTACACCATCAACCTGCACAAGCGCCTCCATGGATGGTATATATTTGTCTGTTTTTTCATTATTTCTAGCCCTGATGTTAATCTGTATGTGAGTCATTTCTCTATAGAAATCTGTGAGTATTGTATGTCTGGTTGAGGATTGCGCCTCATTTTAGCTACTATTGTTTTGTTACGTAGGCTTAGTTAAATCTTGATTGGAATTAAGGTTGAACTTAAATTTCAATTAGATGCTTGGATTTGATTGAATTTGAATTTGATTTAAAAATGGGTGCTTTAAAAGGTGTAGGTCGAGTTAGAGTTAAAGAGGAAAAGAAAGTTTGTTTCAAAGCAAGCTGCCCAATTGTTCCCTTATAACATGTAGCTTTTAGCTTAACCTTTTAGCAACTTTGCTTGTATCCACTAGTTCAATGGAGGTTCCATTGTTTATCTAGTAAAATTGGAAATGTAGTTGCATAAATAAATTTATGGTTGAATTGTTTTTATTCAATACAATTACATGCTTTGTGAATATTTTAAATAAATTATTATGTGAATTTGCATTTGAAATCAGATTTCAATGTATTGTCCTATGACCTATCCTAAGCTATTATTACCCTTATAGTCAACAACACCATTGACAGTATTCCAGGTTTAACCTAATCATCTCCTAAGCCTCTGGTGTTAAGCCTTCTATTTGATGCTATCCCTGCTTCACAATCAAATGCAATGCGCAGCGATTAAATTCAAGAGCTAGTTTGTTTAGTTGTGTGTGGATTTAAGATAATCAGATTTCATATGGTTACAAGTGAAAAAAGTTGCCTTAGAAATAGCTGTCACAAAAATCTCCTTGTCGGTTCTCTCTGTTTTTCCTTTGTACTGGTGCCATCATGAATTAATTACCCATGTTAATGGTATATCGCAGCTTTTATGCGCTTTGCTTATCCTTAAAAGAACATGGCTGTTCGGATCGAATAAATAGTGGTCTAGTTTAAACAGCTTTGTATATTTCTTCCATCCTTTCTTGCCCTTCTCTCTGGCATACTGCCATGTTTTATTTTTTGGGTATTTGCATACTGCAACTTCTGCGCAGGCCTTGTCCTATTGATAGAAAAATCATAATGCTGTGGTTATTTGTTCTTTTGTAGCACATTCAAGAAGAAGGCACCAAATGCCATAAAGGAGATTCGGAAGTTTGCCCAGAAGGCTATGGGAACAACAGACGTCAGGGTCGATGTGAAGCTGAACAAGTTGATTTGGAGCCGTGGTATCCGAAGTGTGCCAAGGAGGGTTCGTGTACGCATTGCCCGTAGAAGAAATGATGAGGAAGATGCCAAGGAGGAGCTCTATTCTCTAGTAACAGTCACCGAGATTCCACCAGAGGGTCTCAGGGGATTAGGCACCAAGGTCGTTGATGCAGATGATTGAACCATTGGTAACTCGGCAATTCGTTTTGTTCCATATCTATTTTTAGTGCAAAATGTGGTAACTTTTGTTTAATGTTGAGAGAATCAAACACTTGAGAGCAGTAAAACAGTTTATGTAACTTGGATTGCGATCCAATCTATCTTTAGTTCATAACTTTCTTTTGTCTTAAGAATTTTTGTTTCATTTTTATTGTGAGAAATTTTTTGGTATGAGGTGGCCATTACTATTTTCTGTAGGCAGCACGAGAGCAGTATCTTGGCATGTGGCTAGCTTTTTACTGCACCCGTGCACAATTACTGTTTCACGGTTTGGGCCCCTTCTTCTTCAATGCTATTTGTACTGATGGGACTCCGACTCGGAAGAGTCATTATCTCACTAATGTTTCACGTGTGATGTCTTTTAATTGGCCATTCTTGATCTGAAATCAATCTATTTTACGTCAACAGCTGTCGAAATGGCCAAATAGGTTGTGATTTGCTACTGGAATCGGAGTGCCAGCTGAATCTTGTGGATATTATATGAGTTGTAGACACCTTAAGCTAAATCGAAATTCAAAACCTAATTAGACCAAAGCTAATCCTTAAACGAAAATGTTGAAAGAAAAAAGAATTTTAATTAATTTGACAACCCAATCCAATTATGATAGCTTCATCCATGTTGCATGTACTTTCCTTCAAAAAGAAAAGAGTATTGATGTTTCAAAGGATACACATGATCTTAAAATTCAGTTGAGCTACAAATTGCGTGTACTTTCCTTAGATATTAGGGTAACTGTTTTTAACCGCTTAATTTTCGTCTCCTTCAACTATTATTCACTTTCTATTAAATATTTTTTTCACTTTCAAGTTTTTTTTTCCTGAAATCTTATCCGATTTTTTTTTTTCCGATTATGAGATATGAATGTATAATAAAGATTGACACGTACGAACCCAAAAATCTAATCTGAAAATATTATCAAAATTAATTATTTAGATAAACAAATTTGTGAAAAAAACAAAAAAAAAATGAATAGTTAAAATTCAGGTAGCATTGTATTAGATCTTGTATCCTAAGATGGAGGAGAATGAAAAAGTGGTCTACAATTGTTGAATGTCGCTTTTTATCATCGCATTTTCCGAAAGTATCAAACACTATCTTTTTTTTCCAAGCATTTTGCATTTTCTTGGTAGATGGTCACATCAATAAGGACATATTTTGCATGTAATGAGTCGACATAGTTTACCCTTTTTCCTCTTTTAATCATATAATCACAGGTCAAAGATCATATGTTGGGGTGGGCCCCACCCAAATTTTCCATTGGATTCATGCAAAAATACGTGCATGAAAACGAAAACAAGAAACTCTTCGTCCAAAAAAAAGAAACTCTTCGATTGTCATCATAATAATAACAACGTTTAAGATTGATTCAATATAATGAACGTAATTAAGCGGTAAACACACAATTAATTAACTCTCTCTCTCTCTCTCTCTTACAATAATACAAACACCTTCACAATGCATTTTCATTAGCAGGTTTTTAGTGGTTTCCCGCAAAGACAATCGTTGTAAGCAAACGACGACGCTTCGAGGTGATCGAACGGCGACCCTGCCGGAATTCTCCCACACAAGTGGTTATGGCTCAAATCCAAGTGCCCGATATATGAAGCCGAAATCATAGATTTCGGGATATTGCCCCTCAATTTGTTGAACGATAAATCGATCACGGTGAAGTAAGATCTCGGCCCAAACACATCCGGTATAATACCATCGAGAAAGTTCTTGCTCAAATTCAAGTCGCTAATGCCCGAGACAAGCAAACTCGGCGGTATGCGACCCGATATTTTGTTCGAATCAAGATTTAGCGTCGCGAGAACCGCCATTTTGCCGATTGTAGGGGGGATCGGACCTGAAATCTGATTCAAGGAAAG